CCTTCTCACCTACACAATATTGAAACACGCTACTAATGTGCAGCCCTCCTTCCACAGTCTCTCTCTCCCCTTGAACTTAGCATTTCATACAACCAACCAGACCTTTCTCAACCACATGGCACTTGCATTTTTAGCCATACTTCTTGCAATTGACAATGAACTCTACCACTAACAGATCTCTCAAGTATAGTTCCTTCTTTGTCTTCCTCATTATCACATCCTGCCCTTGGCAAAATTGTCTAAATTCACACAAGGGTATCACATTTTATGCAGAAGGTGCCCATGTTTATATATGCTTCGCTCTTGATTCTTTTCTCACTCTTTCAGCCATCAAATACTGACTCTTACCTCACATCTTCATTCCTGGCTACCATCCCTACCAAAAAACACTAACTGTATCCAGATACTACCTGAAGCTACTTTCTGCCAACACACACACACACACTCTCTCTAACCCCAAGTAATTAGTCTGCAACATCCCCCCTTCACATGTGCAATACACACTCCCTGTAAGTGGGGGGGTAGCAGCACATTAATTCATGGAGAAAGGACGGGGGGGGGGAGAGAATCTGTGTATTTGGAGAGGCAGATGTTAACTAAGTGGGAGGCTTGACAATGGTGCAGGGGCTTCCACCTTCTCTCCCTGTGCAGCTGTGGGTTCCAATAATCCAGGCCTACATGGAAGCTCCTCTCCCTTCCACTAAACTGTGGGCTCCTGCTCCATCAGCAGCCAAAGGCCTTGTCTAGAATGGTGATTTGCCATAACTCCAGCCAGTGACTTAGCTGTCCTGGTGCAGCCTTTAGCATTGGCCGGCAAAGACACCACTCGCACCGGTGGAGTCTATCCTCCTTGAAACCCCAGCATAAGCTACATTAATTCAAAGAGCAGTTACCTGTCTACACTGATCACTAGAATCAGAGCAGATCCCTCTTTTGGCAAGGCCCAATTCAGTTTATTTAAATTAGAAGTGATTTGTTTTGCCTCAAGATGTTGGTAGGTATGTTGAATCAGGAATGCAGTGAGAACAGTTATTTTGCTATGGGGCCAAAAAAATCAAGTGTTTCATCCTTCCAATAGGGCGAAAGTCTAACTGGGTTCAAAAAAGAATTAGATAAATTCACGGAGGATAGGTCCATCAATGGCTATAACCTAAGATGATCAGTGACGTAACTCCATGCTCCCAACCCCTAAACTCAATCCACTAGACTATGCTGCCTCGTATTACATGGGTATTTCTGTTAGTTTTCTGTAGCTTAATCAAAATATTAATAGCATAAATTAAGCCAAAGCAGCAGAGTTTAATTATACTTAACTGATTTTCTGCTTTTTGACATTAGCACTAGGAGTTAGGCAGCTTTACTGCTTCAAGTGACCTTATTCTTAGCAATTACAAAAAAAAAAGTAAGCACATTAAAAGAAAGTTTCAGATGATCCTCATCACTTAATCACCGAAGACGCTTCCTGTTCCATTTTTTAAGTGTATACATGTTTTACATACACACACAGCTAGCAATTTTTTAATATATAATTTTTTTTTGTTAGGTAGTTCACCACCACTGGTTACGAGTGGGGCTACATTGAACAGACTAATGCTCTGCAACGCATAGGAGCGCAGAGAAAGTATTGATAGCATTATTTAAGCACTGCCAACAAAAATGTTTTCTAATATTTACCTCTTCCCTCGTTTAGTAGTCTGGCTATTCCCTTTTTCAGAGTTAAAGCTGTCTGGAAATAAAAAGTTTGCTTCTAAGTTCTATGGCAAAGGACAGTAGGATTGGGTCCTTGATCGTATCACATAAGAGGAATAAGTTTAGACATTGGCAATGTAGTTTACACAACACACAAAGGAACATCACCAACTTAAGATAAAATAATCAGACTTCTTGAAAATTTTTACCTGATAATATTACAAACAACACTTCTTTTCCATTATACTGATTTTAGATTAACTGGAAAAAATAGATTCCCCCTCTCCCTGCCAGTTTACTTTGTGCATTTGATAACACTTTATATTCGTTTTCACTCTATAGCTCATTTCCCTGTTGCGTGAAAGACTCTCAAAAACAAGGAAAAGAAAAGTGAATAGGAAGATACAGTTAATTGTAAAACCATACAAATTAGTAAGGGGACTTGTGTGACAATGCACAGCTACTTTCAAACTCCCATTCTGAAACTGACTAAATCCTTTGTGCATGTCTGTTTTAAAAAGAAAAAAAAAGAGGAAGGAGTGTGGTTGCCACAGGAAGCAACCCAATATTAAAATCCTAGTGTCATAGAAGTTAGAGATAGAAGCTAACAATTAAGTGTGTTCCCACAGTCTGCTTGGTGTGGGCTGGGTTAGGGGAGACGGGGACTTGATATGGTCTCTCTCCCACATGGCTAGCAATACAAATGAGCAGCATACCCATCCTGTGAATGAGTAGCCAAGGAAAGCATGTTTTTGCAGCAGTGTGCTTGAGTACTTTGTTAAATGTAACTTTAAATGAGACAAGTTACTAGACATACCATGAAAATTAAACCTGGACCCACTTTGTTCTAGAAAAAAAATTGGGAAAAAATTTGTTTTTCCCCCTTCACCTTCTGAGATCTGAATCATTTTAACAATGATGCAGCTATCTGCTTCGGTAGCAGTCACATTAAGACCCTGTGACAATATTCTGAATTTAGCTCACTTTAAGAAAAGGAGTACTTGTGGCACCTTAGATACTAACCAATTTATTTGAGCATAAGCTTTCGTGAGCTACAGCTCACTTCATCGGATGCATACTGTGGAAAGTGCATCCGATTAAGTGAGCTGTAGTTAGTCTCTAAGGTGCCACAAGTACTCCTTTTCTTTTTGCGAATACAGACTAACACGGCTGTTACTCTGAAACCTGTCATGAGCTCACTTTGTTTTCCCATCTCCAACATGAACCACAGCTTTCAGTTTTACCTACAGCAAGTGTCCCAAGCGTGTGTTATTAGTGAACAGACTTTTCTATCCAACACCTTTAAGGCAGATTTCACTAGTATTGTTATACTATTCAGCATATTTAAATATGTGCATAGCTCTCAAGAAGATCCAATAAGTTATGCACTAAAATTAATCAGACATCACTGTTAAATTAGTAAGAAGGAACAGTTTATCCTTACAGCAAGTTTTGATTAGTGGAGATCCTGTTGTATGTAATTTTAAGTACTCATTCAACGTGAAACAATAAAATCTAATTTAAAATGCACATATGTTAAAAATGTGTTTGTAACAAGTTAATGTAGTGCTTGTGAAAGGTACCAGATTGACTGCCCTTGCTACAGAACAAGTTCAGACTGCATCCCCATATTGTCTTGTGGATTTTTTAAAATATTTTTAAATCTTCTCTCTCTCTCTGTTGTTTACTGTCAAATGCTGCTCCTTCATGTTACTTCTAGCCCCTTCAACAGCAAAGTCATTTTGGAGCAAGGAGGCCTCCTTAAATATGGATCTATTCTCAGATCCTTTATACAATGCTGTTTGTTTTATCATGGCCTAGGTTGTATGCTTACACTAGATCACTGCTCTAGTGAATATCTTGAAGTGTACTCTAAACTAAAATATCCATATCAGTCTTATCCAATATTGTAACAATAGTAATTATTTCTCGCTCTCTCTCATCACTAGAAGCAAATGCAACGTATGATTCAACCTTTCATTAAGACATTACACTTCAAAACCGTAAGCTGGAACATAATTAGAACAGGTTTTTAAACAAACATAATACCTTACCATCTAGCACATGAAGAAAAAATAATGGGGGGTGGGGAGGATGCCAGATTTTCATGTTTCCACTTTAACCATGTAAACTGAAGTGAGTTTTCTCATTACCGACTAACATACTAGCATAAACTAAAAATGATCGAAGGAGTGATAAAATTCAGGAGTATGGCACTTTGATGCCACAGGCACTACAAAGAGTTTAAGCTAGATGACTGCGATTTTGCAATGGTAATTAAAAAAAAATCTTTAAAAAACACCCACTAAAATTGGAAAAATGTGACTGCTTCCTTCTATGGAATTGAGATATAGTAAAACAGATTGTTCTTGTAATGGAAAAGTTCATTCAACAAATACATACACAAGAAAAGCACCAAAAAGAGGATAGCTATTTAGAAATGTGGCCACCCTTTCAAGCATACTCAAAGGAGGAAAGCCCCCTAGCCAGCAAGCTAGAATCTTTAGCCAAGTTCTTTGAATATAATGCTGATCCTGAATAAGTAATATATGATGCACTATGTTTTATTGTAACTTTGCATTAATACAAAGTTTCAAAAAATAAACCAGCTAACATTCATGACAGAAAAGGCAAAACCCATGGAAATATTTTTTAAAAAGTCACAGGCACTGCCTCTGCATCCAACTGATATTTGATCTCATGTATGTTTCAGAAATTCCAACTCTTTATTAGCTTTCTGGGCAGAGTCTCAACTTTACAGTACTCATCAGTTTACTAAACATTGTTCAGTTGTTTTGTAACAACATCTGCCCACCCGGGTTGGGAAGGAGATAATTTAAGAAATAGATGATGACTTTCAAGTTTTAATTTAACAGCTATAATCTATACCAAGGGCCAGCCTACAGAAATAAGCACCCAATGACTTAACGTTTCACCTTGTAGTAAGGAACCCTATTCTCATAGTCAGAAATCCATAGAGACACTGTCTTTTTAAAAAGCTTCAGGCAATGTTTTCACAAACTGTGAACATAAGGCCCTTGGGAAGTTTCACCATCTGCACATTCCATTAGCACCTTCATCCACCAGACTGTCTCAAACTTGGACAATTTGAATGCCAGAAGAGAAAATAATGAACAGGACAAAATCACCACAAACTTGAAATGCTACAAACATTGCCTAAAAAATTATCCGCAGGGAGGAAAAACAGCAATGGAATAGTTCTCCCTCTAGAGAGGTGCCCCCCTCCTCCCCTTTCAGATGGCCTGTTTCGGGGACAGCACTGTGCAGGAGGGTGCGTTTGAGGCACTTACGAGATGTAGGCAGGATAAGCGAATCCGATCAGGTTGCACAGCAGAGATGCTCCATAGCCGATCACCAGGTACACGGCCAGCACGCCAATGATAGCTACCCAGGGAGAAAGCAGATAGCGCATTAGAGGGGGGAAAGCGACCGATTATAAATAGACGGGGCGTTTTCTCAACGACTCGCGACCGGTGGGAAAGAAACCAAGCTATCGAGTCAGCCACTCGCTCCCCCACTGCGGCAGGGAGCCCCACCCGCCTACTGCCAGCCCCCGACTAGCCAGCCCGGGGAGCAGCTCCTAACCTGTGACGCTAAAGGGGTACATCGCGCCGGACCGGGGCGGGAAGCAGAGACTCCGGGCTCAGACACGTCAGCCGCGCTGGCTAGTCAGTTTCCACCTCCTGGGAGTAACTCGCTCTTTCCCCTCCGCCCCGTTGCATGCAAACGCGCCGGCTCAGATGCCATCGACTGGGGGGGTTTCCCCCGGAGAGAGGGGTTTCTCCCTGTGCGATTTTTTTTTTGGGGGGGGGAATTGACACTATGGCTCAGCAGCTTCCATGAGATCGCCCCCAGGAGAAGGCAGGGGACGCAATAACTGGGGGCGGGGGGGGGGAGGAGAGGAGCTGGGCTGGCGTAACCGGAGAGCACAACGTTGCTGCTGTCGCTCCTCTCGGCTGCCGCAGACACCCAAGCCCAGACATTCCGCCTCCGCCCCCATTGCCCCTCTGGCCGGCCACAGGCTTCCCCGCTCCTCCGCCCCCATTGCCCCTCTGGCCGGCCACAGGCTTCCCCGCCCTCCGCCTCCGCCCCCATTGCACCTCTGGCCGGCCACAGGCTTCCCCGCCCCTCCGCCTCCGCCCCCATTGCCCCTCTGGCCGGCCACAGGCTTCCCCGCCCTCCGCCTCCGCCCCCATTGCCCCTCTGGCCGGCCACAGGCTTCCCCGCTCCTCCGCCTCCGCCCCCATTGCCCCTCTGGCCGGCCACAGGCTTCCCCGCTCCTCCGCCTCCGCCCCCATTGCCCCTCTGGCCGGCCACAGGCTTCCCCGCTCCTCCGCCTCCGCCCCCATTGCCCCTCTGGCCGGCCACAGGCTTCCCCGCTCCTCCGCCTCCGCGTCGAAACCCGGTTACGTAACCCAGAGCCGGGAGGCCACTCCTCGGCAGCGTGTCCCCGACAGAGCCGCTGCCCGGCTCGCGGGCACTGACCCCAGCCCCTGCCCGCAGGCCGGGCGTGTCCCAGGGGCCAGCAGCGGCGGGGAGCGGGGCATTCACTCACCGATGGCGATGTAGGATCGGCTCACCCCGGTCTTGGTCTCGATTTTCTCCAGCAGGCTGGTCATGCAGTTCTTCTCATGGAGGAACGTATCAAACCGCTGCCTCATGGACGCCGTCATGGCGAGGCCGCTGGGGCTGGAGAGCACGCAACGCCCGGATCCGGTCGCCCAGCCTTGGCGCTGCGAGGCAGGGGCGGCGGCGGCTCTGCTGGCTGGAAAACCCTGGCCGGGGAGGGGAGGAGCCGGCGGTGGCACGCGGCAGCATCGCGGGATACGTGATCTGAGCGTCGGCCCTGCCCAGCTGCCCTCCCCCGCCCGGGCCGCACTGCAAACACCACGCCCGGCCCCGGCGGCTGCCGCAGCAAGGGCGGTTCTGCAGGCGCCTTCGCGGTTGCTATGGCAAGAGAGGAGGGTGGGGGGTGATCAAACATAGGCAAACGGGCCAGGCTGTGGGCTGAAGGGCGGGGACGGGCTGGGGACACATTTTCCCGGGACGTCAAACCCTCAGTAAACACAGCCTAGCGCACCCAGCGGGGTTAGTTCATGAGCTACATGGCGGCAGCGATCTAGTAGATGGCCTTCTCCGGTTCTCATCCCCTCTCCCAAACGCATCTCTGGCCCCTCTAACAGTGCCTAGGTATGTGTGTTATCAAATTAGTAAACGGATACTAATTGGATGCTTGGCTGAAAGGTCAAGAAGACCTGTCACTGGGAAGGTGTTGAATTTTTGGAACTTTAGTGATATTTTGTGCAAATAGGCCTAGGTCATCGTTCTTGGTTGGAATCCATTCTTATTTTATATTTGTTTACTTTTGACAGGGCTTACAGTACCCAAAACTGTATACGGATTTCACAGATTAAATAGAAGACACAGTCTGTGCTCTCAAGTGCTGACAATCTAATTATAAATCTGAAGCAATGAGTTAGGGTAACAAACTAGGGAAGGGATGAGGTGAGGAAGAACAAAGTTTGTGGTAATATGACTTCACTTTTACTGGGAAGCTGCATGACTGCATCAGAGTAGTACTAGAAGTTTGTAACTTTACCCTGGAAGTCAGGTCTCCCACAGGTTTAAAACAGTTTCTCTGCCAACAGTATGTAATTTACAAAGTATGATGCAATCTTGGAAGCTTTCTTGGCCTGCTGACCAGTAAACCCCTTTGTTTTGGCCCTGGTCCCTTACCAGAAGCTACTTGATATCATTTACTCATGTGACTCAGCTTTAGAGCTTCTGACTAAAAGGATTTCAGACCTCCCTCAAATCTCTGTAAACCATAAACATGCAGAAAAATTGGCCATGGTGGCCGAATGACAAGATGGCTTTCTCAGGAAGCTTTGCTTCTTATTACCTATACCTGGAAATGTTTCAAATGTAAGTAGCACAGCCTCCCTTCAAAGGTATAACTTTTCACACTTGCTGTCTGTTCACCTCAAGTGCACATTTCTTGAAGTCTATGGAGAAGTGCATCTTGCAAAGGACTCATACAAATATACCTAGCACTGCAAAACTTTTTCTTCTTTCATGAGTCCCTTGCATTTCTACCTCTTTCTTTCATATCTTTTCTCTTCAGTCTCTTTCTCCAACTTTATCTTCTCTCTTTAGTGATCAAATCCTGTTCTGGCTCCACTTGCCACCTGAGAATAGGAACAATATTGACCACAGAATGGCACAAACTACCTGATCTGACACCTGCTATATGATGTATGCAGTGCTGTTGTAGCCGTGTCAGTCCAGTCCCAGGATATTAGGGAGACAAGGTGGGTGAGGTAATATCTTTTATTGGACCAGTTTCTGTTAGTGAGAGAGACAAGCTTTCGAGTTTACACTGAGCTGACCTGAAGAAGAGCTCCGTGTAAGTTCAAAAGCATATCTCTAACTAACAGAAGTTGGTCCAATAAAATATATTACCTTGCCCACCTTGACCTTCTGCACGACAAATATCAGTTGATAAATAATCACTTAAGCTAAATCACTATAATGTATTCTTGAATTGAAATAAGTGTCCATATATGAGGGTTGCACCAAGTCAACACAATCAGGTTCTGAGGCATTGTATATATTCAAACTTACACCAATATAATTAAACCAGTTTAGTTAAACTGGTGCAAATCTTGTGTGAATACTTTTATTTTGGTGTAAGAAGTCCTTCAGTTTACCTTTAGCCTGTGTGTAATCAATTTAGCTAAACCAAATTAAGAGTGCCCTGGTTTAACTAAACGGTTTAAAGTCATACCTTAAGTTAAATTCATAGAATATCAGGGTTGGAAGGGACCTCAGGAGGTCATCTAGTCCAACTCCCTGCTCAAAGCAGGACCAATCCCCAATTAAATCATTCAGACAACTGTACACAATAACAAGATCTAAATGGATTTAAAAAGGCAGGATCATTGGCATATGCACTCTTGATCAGCCAGAGGGGGCAGGAGGCAGAGAAAATAAAAAGAAAAAAAAGAAAGAAGAGAGAGTCAGAGATGGGACTTGTCTATACTAGGAAAAATGTATTTTTATATGTTAGTAATAGGATTAACATGCTAAAAATCCTTGTCTAGACAAGGCAGTTGTAATTTTATGTACTAGCTATTGAAAGTAAACCCAAGGGGACAAAATATTTAAAATATGTTACTGTGAGGTACATACCCCACACTGGTATTAAAAGGGTTAACTGGAGGTAGAGAATTTGATTAAGGTACCTGGTTGCACCTGGAGGCTGGGCCAGCCCCAGATGGTAGCTGAGCATAAGGGGAGGAAACCCAGATAAGAAGGAGTTAGAGAGGAAGAATACTGTTGTTTCTATCTTGTTGTTAAATGTCTAGAGAGAGGTAGATCTGTAATAGTTCTAGGGAGGGGCTGTGGGAATGGGCCTGAAGGAAGGCCAGTATAGGAAAAAAGCTATAGTTCCCCTCCTTTTTTCCTTTCCACAGTTATTAAGGAGTGAATCCAAACTCTTAGCTCTTCTCTAAATGATACCATTTCCTGTTATGTTTTGGAGCCTCAGATAGCCTCTTTCTTAAGGCTTGTAGAACTTTTTGTGTAGCATATACCATAAGTTCTGCAGCTTCTCTTGACCATATCTTGTATGTTACTGGGAAGCACCTGTGTTTTGCAAATACATTTTCATATGATACTATTAATACTTACATATCTGGTTCTGTGTTGTCTGTTTCTCTATAGCAGTGGTTTTCAATGAGGGGTATGTGTACCTCTCCGGGTACACAGAGGTCTTCCAGGGGGTCCATCAACTCATCTAGATCTTTGCCTAGTTTTTCAATAGGCTACATAAAAACACTAGCAGAGTCAGTACCAACTAAAACTTCATACAAACAAAATAAGAACGAAAGCAATTTTAAGGTAATATTGTGCTGAGACACTTTTGTATTTTTATGTCTGATTGTGTAAGCAAGTACTTTTTAAGTGAGGTGAAACTTGAGGGTACGCAAGACAAATCAGACTCCTGAAAGTGGTACAGTAGTCTGGAAAGGTTGAGAACCACTGCTCTATAGCACACATTCTATTAACAAGACCAAGCACCTCATATGGGTGTAGATGGTTGCTTGTCTCTGTGTACCACTGCAAGCTCTTGTTTTTATTATTTTCCCTTTGTATTTAAGTGCTAGCATGCACTTTCCTAACACTGGAATTATTCCTCCATGATAGTCTTTCATAGATTCTTTGAACCCATCCACTTTCAGCTGCTTCTTACATCACTCTATTAAGGTTTCAGAGTAACAGCCGTGTTAGTCTGTATTCGCAAAAAGAAAAGGAGTACTTGTGGCACCTTAGAGACTAACCAGTTTATTTGAGCCTAAGCTTTCGGATGCATCCGATGAAGTGAGCTGTAGCTCACAAAAGCTTATGCTGAAATAAATTGGTTAGTCTCTAAGGTGCCACAAGTACTCCTTTTCTTTTCACTCTATTTCAGTTTCTGTTATTACATTTACTTCTGCCCCAGTATCTATCCTTGTGTGTCACACAAATGCCATTTCTTCATGTGATGGGGTGTTCACCCTATACTAGCATGGAAAGGGTTAATGAGGTTGAGAAGAGGCCAATTAACCAGATAGGCAACATATGAGGGGAAATATGTGGCTAAATAACCCTGAATTGATGCTGATGCCTAGTTGAGAAGGAATAGGTGGGATGTTGTAGACCTTGGCTGGTGATTACAGTGTTTCTGAGCTGGACTCTGGAGTAGAGGATGGGCCTGGATTCCTGTACCACCCACTGGGGAAGTGCCACTGTCAAGGAAGTGGATTTGAAGACTACCTGGGATAGTTTGTCCTGTAGGACTTTGATACCCTAGAAGGGGGGAAAACATATTAGTGACCTGGCTAGAGAGCCAAGTCACAAAGAGCACCCTGAGTCACAGAGAGAGAGGGAAACTGCTGGGCATGCAAACAAGCAACAGAAAGGGGCTTCAGACCTGGAAGGACCTAATCCCCAGAGCTGCCAGGAAGTGGTGAGTGACCCCTGTTCCAATACACGTTTTAACTGGATAATTTTTGAGTTTTCTGTTTCCTCCTTATTGCGGCTAAGAACAGCTCTTCCTTTTCATTTGAGGAATCCATTTTTGGATTGCACTTTCCTGCTTTCTCAGCATGTTTTTGTATAATGGTTGGGTTTATTACAGTTTCTACATATTCGCCTGAATGCTGGACATTTCCTATACTCAAAATGGTTGCCACATTGCTGATATTGTTTCCTGCTTTTCATGTTCCTGTCCATGGCCAATTCAATTTCTATTAACTTTTTCCTTGCTGGCTTTTCTATAGTACTCTGTCATATGCTCTGTGCCCTTCTCTGGGCTTTTTGTTTCTGTTTATCCTGCTGCTTGGCATATATATATATATATATATGGACCTTTCTAATGTCTCATGCATCTCCCTTATTAACTATTCCTGGACTCTTATTATTTACACCCCAGGATAATCAAGTCTCTGAATCTTTTAATATTCCGTATTCAAAGGACTGACTTTTTAGTTTTAATTATGTGACCCCAAACTCATCTATGTTTTCCCCTTCATTCTGTATTCTTGTCCTGTCTCTCTCTCAAAAGTAAGTTGTTTTTTTTTGTTGTTGTTGTTTTTTTTTGGTGGGGGACACAATGATCCTCAATCATTTTTCATTATTTTTGCAAAGTGTTCCTCTTTTCCTGCTATGAAGTGTATGGAATGCATAGTATACATCTAGGGCTTCTGTGCCTGAGTCAAGAGAGTACAGAAATGATGTAACAAGACTTCCTATAACTCAGTATAGCTGCAGCCTGTGACTGCCTTGTCCTTCTTTCTGTGCCAGCAGGAAGTGTGTTGTGGCAAAGCAAAGCCTGCATCTAATGTACAAGATGTATGGTATCTCTACACCTCTTGGAGGATTTACTATTCTTTTTTGCCTTCACTTTGCCCCATCAATAGGACAAAAAAGAATCATAGAATATCAGGGTTGGAAGGGACCTCAGAAGGTCATCTAGTCCAACCCCCTGCTCAAAGCAGGACCAATCCCCAATTAAATCATCCCAGCCAGGGCTTTGTCAAGCCTGACCGTAAAAACTTCTAAGGAAGGAGATTCTGCCACCTCCCTAGGTAACGTATTCCAGTGTTTCACCACCCTCTTAGTGAAAAAGTTTTTCCTAATATCCAACCTAAACCTCCCCCACTGCAACTTGAAAATAGTAAGTCCTGTGACTACTAGCTCTTACTTTTTATATAGCATACAACCTTTCTCTTGTTGCAGTTCCCTGCCTCATTCACTACAGCACCTTCCGTCTTCTGCAACAGATGAGGAAAGGAATCTACAGACAGTAGCTGCCTTCACACAACCCAGATTGATTTCCTGAGTCTCCTCCATCTTGTGCATTAAATGAGGCAGGGAATCATGTGGAAAAATGTATGATTTCATTGTTAAAAACACTATCATAATGCATACACACAAGGCGGGGGGTGGGCGCTAAAGTTTTACAGGCAGCTTTGATTCTGGCATGTCATAACTTTTGAGTGTTTGACTTCGTAACTTAAGCACTCTTCACTTTTTTTGACATCTAAGCTTTTAAAAAGCCAATTGAAAAAACAAATTCTATCACGTGAAACCATGTAGACATCCATCATCTTTAGATCCACAGCACTGATCTGCCACTTTTGCTGAAGGAGTAACTGGTAATAGTAGTAAGTCAGTATTTTCTATGTGAATTAGCCACTAGAGAAGGATGAGACACCTTCTGCCAGTGGGGTTCATAGCTATATGCCAGGGGTAGTCTATTATTTTTTTGTCAAGGCCAACATTTTTTAGTCAAGGTATAGTCAAGGTCTGGACTCGAGCCTTGCAGGGCTCCATTTAGGGAAGGTGGGAGGGGGCACCTGCCCCACCTCTCCTGAGTTATGTATCAGCCCCAGGCGGATGGGGCTCCCGCTGACAGCCCTGTGTGCCTGCCGGGGCTCACAGTGGGAGCCCTGGCTACCTGAAGCTGAGACATAACTGGGGGATGGGGGGGTAGTAGAAGGTGCTCCCCTGCCTTCCCTAAGTGGCGCCCCTGCTGTGACAGTCTTTGGCCAGGGGCACACAAAGCACGGTTGCCACAATTTGGTTAAACTGCGGGTGGGAGTGAGCTGCAGTTGCACCTTCTGGCCACTTGAGTGCACTGTGCCCCCTGTGGAGCAGGCACTTGGGCAGCTTCACTCCTGCTCCTCCTCACTTGCAGGCCGGAGGATGGTGGAGGTGGCGGCAGCAGCAGGGTGAGTGGTTGGTGCCAGGCTCCTCCACCTTACTGCAGAGCCCTAGCTTGCCCAAGCACCCAGCCAGCCACTTCTCTACTCACAGTAGCCCCCCTTCGCCTCTCCCCCCACTGCATTAACTGCCCACGGCCCCCTAGAGTTTCGTGGTCTGGTTAAAAGTCTCTGGCAGTCCAGATTTGGCCCGTTGATTACCCACTATATGCTGACAGCAGAAAAGTTGCTGATTTCAGCCAACCTTCTCTTCTTTCACTGCCCTCCCAGATGGGCTGCAGTGGCACAGTCTCCCTGGGATCTGTCTCCTGCTGATGCAGGTGGGCTGGGATGGCACTGTGTGAGGCTTTACCTTGGAGCAATTCACTATTGTAATGCTGCATGTGGAGCTGCTCAGGGCCAGGTTCTGGGCCAAGGTAAGGGCTGCCTTCCCTCCCCCATGGGCCCTATGGGGCTTGGGGTGCCAGGGTGGTGGTGGTTAGGAATTCCTAGAAGGAACAGGGCTGAGCCCCATGGCTCAGGGAGAATCCTGCTAGGGAATCCTGGCTACCTTGAGCTGTTGGCCATGCTCATGAGGGGCTGCTTGCTGCCCTGCAGGACCTGAATTGGCGGCGGCAGCAGCAGCTGTTGGATGCATGCTAGGCTGGCTTCACCCCAGCCAAACGCTTCTCAGAGAATGAGCCTAGTCTGCTCCCACCCCAACCTGTAGGGTGGATTTTATCTGGTGACTCTGCCTTGCTGGGTTACTCCAGTTGGTTCTGACCCTAGGCCCATCATTATGACCAGTAGGGCAGTGTGATGGCTGGGTTAATCACCCTGATCTGGGACTAGGTCTGATGCTCCCTGCTTTAGTGCTTGTTCCTGGTACAGAGCCCCTCTATCTGAGCATTCCCCTATGCTTGTGGTCTCTCCCTAAACTCCTACAGGGCACAAGCCATGCTTGCTGCTCTAAACCTATGCACAAGAGAGAGGGAATAGAAACCTTCAATCACTGGCAATAGGTACTATTTCTGGTGACTTTGTCCCTCTGCGATGTGATCATATAATTGGACACCTGTTGAGGAGTATCCATTGCCAATCCAAACGTAGACTCAAGGTCCTTTCCTACAGCAGCTTAATGGGTTAAAGTTCTGCTTCAGACTGATGCACTTTCGTTAGGATGCATTTTAAGTAGTTACACTAGTGCAAACTTCCTTCATGTAATTAGGACCTTAGACTGCTGACTGCATCATGCCTGTACCAACCCAAAAATGGGAAATTTGCTCTCCTAAGCATCCTGTATTCATAACTTTACATTGAGTTCTGGTGAACTTGGCTGTCAGTGCACACAAGGGCTTGTCTACCCTGAAAAATTATGTCATAGCTACATGTCTCAGGCTTGTGAAAAATCCACCCCGAGAGACATAGTTAAGCTGATATAACTCCCGGTGTAGACAGGACTAGGCCGATGGAAGAATTCTTCTATTAACCTAGCTACTTTAGCCTCTTGTAGAGGTGGGTTACTTACAGTGACAGGGGAACCCCACCTATTGCTGTATTAAGTGTGCACACTGCAGTGT